CCTTGTATGTCTGCAACTAACAAGAGGTCATTGTAGGAGGTGTTCCCAGGCAAGAGTAAACACAGGTCGGGATAATTTCCAACGTTATAATTATTATTATTCACTGATTTACTTTAAACTAGATATATATATGTATGTACAGATGGGTGTGTATTCGCAATAGATAAGGCGCTAGACCGGCGGCGTGCGTTCCGCGGCGTTTGCAAAAAATCAGACTAATTTTTCACCTCTCTTCCATTCTCTTCTTCCCGCATCGTATGCATCTGTCCAGCGACGAGTGAGCGATCGGCTGATCGCCACTCTCCCGCACAGTGGGACACGCAGCAAAACTGAACATGCCGCCCGCCAATGCTAGACCTAGCATGAGACATCTCCGCGTGTCCAGTCCATCCTGGGGGTAGTAGGCGGGGCAGAATCTAGCATGGAGACAAGAGACAAACGGTGTGCGCAAGAAATAATTTATTATGATTGAGGTGTACGTGAGAGCGCTTAAGAACGGATTGGCAGTGGACACAGCTTCGACACTGACCGCTTTAATTGGCCTTGCTTGGTTTTAAGGGTTACCACCCGGACTAACGCATCCGCCCCTGGGTGTAACTCGACGACCCGTCCTAACAGCCACTGTGAAGGCGGGAATCGGTCATCCTTGATGATGACAAGGTCGTTCAACTGCAGACCTTCAGCCTCATGACACCACTTCGGTCTCTGCTGCAGATGAGCCAGCCAGTCTCGACTCCAAGCCTTCCAGAAATGGCGAATCATTGACTGCTGGATAAGAAACTGCTCTGCGAAGGACTTGGACTGCGGCCTATACTCCGGAGGCGCCAACATGGAGTCTCCAATTAGAAAATGAGCCGGCGTAAGCACCTCTAGATCGTCAGCATCGGCTGTAAGAGGGCACAGCGGCCGCGAGTTGAGGCATGCTTCTATGCTTATGAGCACCGTAGATAACTCCTCATAGGTGAGCCGTCGATCGGCGATGACCCTCTTAAGGTGGTGCTTCACCGACTTCACATTGGCCTCCCACAGCCCGCCAAAGTTGGGCGATTGAGGTGGATTGAAATGCCAAGTGGCACGCTGCGCAGCGAGCTTTGGGGCTATGAGCTTCTCGTAATCCTCCTGCAGCCTTCCGAATAATGCCTTCATTAGATTATCCGCGCCGATAAAGTTGGTTCCGTTGTCTGCTGAACCATCCCTCGCCGCCCGGTGAACCGGTCTAAAGCCAGTAAGAAATGCTCCGTGGTGAGACCCGTCACTGCCTCCAAGTGTACAGCCTTCGTCGCCAGACAAATGAAAACGGCTATGTATCCCTTGTAGAAGCTGGTTCCTCTCAAGCGCGCTGCCTTCAGCTCTATTACGCCTGTGTAGTCAACTCCCGTCGCCAGGAACGGTCGATTAGGGGGGTTGACCCTGTGTAGCGGCAGGTCTCCCATGAGCTGAGCCGAGGTGGTTGGCCGGGTGCGAAAGCACCTCACGCACTTCCGCAGCACCCTTCGAACTGCTTGCCTCCCTGTCAGTATCCAGAACCGCTGGCGAGCGTGGGCCAAGGTCAGCTGCGCACCTCCGTGCAGAGTCAAAGTATGCGAGTACCGTATTACTAGCTCTGTAAAAATATGAGAACTTGGGAGGATTATTGGATGCCGACGTTCGTATGATCGCCCCGAATGGCGCAATCGCCCCCTCACTCGTAAGATTCCCTCCACCACGATCGGTGACAAACTCTGAAGCTTGCTTTTGGAGGGCAGCCGTTTAGAATTCATCAATGCGGCCAGCTCAGACGAGAAGGACTCCCTTTGAACAATGCGCACGATGGCGAGTAAAGCATAGTCGAGCTCCTTAATGCTTAGGGGACCGGTACACCTCTCTCCTTTGCTAATAGCATTGCTTTTGAACCGAATTATAAATGCTGTGACTCTTATGGCCTGGCTGAAATTGGAAAACCTCTCAACCAACGATGGTTGCGGAACTGCCAGGTGAACGCGTACCTTGTCCGCCTTTGCCTCCAGCGCGGCATCGTATATGTCGACCTGCCCGATCTCCGTCGAAGGCCAGTCATCTTGCTTGCGTGTAAGCCACTCCGGGCCTCGCCACCACAAATCAAAATCCTTTAGCTCGCTCGGAGGAAGCCCTCTTGTCGCACAGTCCGCTGGATTCTCGCTAGTACCTACATGTCTCCATTGCGATGGCGACGAGTGGTCCAGAATGAAGGCGACCCTGTTGGCAACGAACGTCTTCCATCTATTGACGTCCCCGTGCAGCCAATGAAGAAGAATCGTGGCATCCGTCCAATAAAAGGTCTGGATGGGAAGGTCATTTAGCCACCTAGCCGATGTAAGCCATTTCACCAACTTGACGGCTAGCACTGCACCACTCAGCTCCGTTCTTGGTATGGTTAGGGGTTTAGTAGGGGTAACCTTTGATTTTGCGGCCAACAGCGAGACGTAGCACGCTCCATTCCCGTGCTCGAGCCTTAGATAAGTAGTAGCTGCATAGGACGTGGAAGATCCGTCACAAAACGCGTGCAGCTGAGCTGATACTATGGATCCTGGGGAATAATGAATCCACCGCTGTATGCTCAGGCCGTCTATCCCCAGCAAGCCGTCCCGAAATGCTTGCCACCTTTCCGCAAGAGCCTTAGGAACCTCGTCGTCCCAATCCAGAGCCGTCCTAGCGCCGTTGTCCTGCGTTTTCTTAGCCATGGTTACCTCCTTCAATATTAACTTTCCCGAGATGATGACTGGCGCGATGAGACCTAGCGGGTCGAACAGCCTCGCTATGCTCGACAGGATCGTCCTCTTAGTGAAAGTAGGTGGTATCTCAAAATTGACCTGAAATTTGAAGCAGTCCTTATTGGGGAGCCAATACATTCATAACGCCTTGATCGGAACCGCAGCGTCCCAGTTCAGAGGTGTCCGACTGCATTGATGCTCTGGGGGAATCGATTGCAAAAGGCTCTCTTCGTTGCTGGACCATTTCCGCAACTCCATGCAAGCGGATTTTATAGCACCCGATACCTGGGCCCGTTTATCCTCCGCATCTTCTATCGTATGCCCACCGGAAAGAATGTCGTCCACGTAGATCTCGTCCCTTAATACTTCTTCCGCCTTAGGAAACGAACACCGCTCATCCTTCGCTAATTGTTGAATGACTCTGATCGCCATGAAGGGTGCCGAAGCCGTTCCGAAGGTTAGCGTTGTCAACGCATAAACGTTGATGGACCCATCCGCCGCCCGCCATAAAATCCGCTGATATTGGGCGTCTTCCGGGTGAACATCGATACACCGATACATTTTCTGTATATCCGCCGTGAAAACAAAACGATATTTCCGCCAGTTGAGAATGACTGCAGACATGTCGTTTTGAAGAGTAGGCCCAGTCCACAAAATGTCATTTAAAGATCTTCCATTGCTAGTCCTTGAGGAGGCATCGAAGACGATTCGCTGTTTGGTTGACTGAATTTCCTTCTTAAAGACAGCGTGATGCGGAAGTACACAAGAGGCTACATGCCTGTTCGCGGCCGTACTCCTTACTGTGCTGCTTTCACTGCCCATTGCCGGCGCTATTTGCTCGAGCGCGAAGTATTCCTCAATCTAATCCACATATTTGCTCCAACGGTCTGGATTGTTGGACAGACGCCTTTCCATCTGGAGAAACCGATTAAGCGCCATCTGATGAGACTTTCCCAAGACCATGGTCGGATCGAGATAGGTTTTAAAAGGCAACCTGACCACATAGCGGCCATCCGGTCGACGCACGTGGGTCTCCCTGAAAAAACGACTCGCACCAGAGGTCCCCCTCCGTCGCTATAGGGCGATCAGGAACTGACTCGACTTCACAGAAACGCTTCAGCAACGCCTCCGTGTCCAGCAGCACTCGATGACAGCGCAATTGTGTTGCTTCTCTTACTCCTTCGGCACGTCCCGATAGAATCCATCCGAAGCGTCGCCGGGCAATCCAATCCTGGTGTCTGGCAGCATGATTTGCGCCAACATGTCCGCTCCTAAGATGAGATCGACTCTCTTCGACCGGGCGTAGCTCGGATCCGCCAGAGGGAGCCCTCGAATATGATTCCAACGCTGCGGCGTGAAGCTAAGGCTAGGCAGACAGGAAGTAACTGAATTGAGAACATATGCTGAATCAACCTCTAGAGAAAAATTTGGATTAATAATACTATTAACTTCGAAATTAACTGTATACTTGCAACGACGACCGCCCCCTGGGCCCACCCCAAAAATCGATGCTCGGGTATTGCACCGTCTCAGATGCAGGGACTGTACGACGTGCTCCGAAACTATGGTTGCCTCAGATCCTTGATCGATGAGAGCATTTATGACCGCTCGTAGCCCGTTGACCGGGTTTCGTACGGCAATACGAGCAGTGGCGAGGAGCACATTTCGGGAGGATCCATTCGCCGAAGTTGCTGAATAGCATCTGTAAGATGCGTCCGGATTCTGGCCCGACGTTGACTGTAGGCCCTGCTGAGGTACGGTCTCCCCAGCTGCATCAGGATGCGTCGCGGCAGACCGAACTGGATGCAGCGGTGTGTGGCTTGACGATCGGTCCTGAGCCAATGCTGGGAAATGCAACAGCGTATGATGGCGCTGGCCACAAATTTGGCAGCTCTTATTGCTAGTACAGCGGGAAAGCGCATGTGCTTTACTCAGACAATTAATACATAATTTCGCCCTGGTGACTATGTCCTTCCTCTTATAGCAGTCCAAGGCCAGAAAGGCGGCACAACGACGCAGGATATGGTCACCGCTACAGTGATAACAGAGGCTATTCGGGCGCCTTGAGTGCTCCTGTGCATTATGCACTCGCACTCTCTTGCCTGGGTCGGCAGATCCTGGGCCATTATTGGAGTCGTACGACGAGCTTCGGTTCTCGATCGCATCCATTATGACCAGCCGATCATTCAAAAACGATTCTAAATCCTTATAAGTGGGAACGGTGGCACCGCTCCCTTGGTGGTGCTCCCAAGCGTTGTGGGTCTCCTTGGGCAACTTCGCTGCTATGTAATGCGCCAACCAGTGCTGCCGTTCCCCGTCCAAGGCTTGGACGCGGCGGAATGCAGCCAGGCAAACATTGACCGTGCTCAGCATCGACCGTATGGAATCCGTATTATCCTTTTGTAGCCTGGGCAACGCGTATATCGCGTTCATGTGGTGGGAAAACACTAGACGAGGATTGTTGTACCTTTTAATCATCATTCCCCATGCCACGGCGTAGTTCGTCTCCGTGAGCTGCATTTGACGGATGTCATTATCGCGCCCTACCGGCAACGATTCCTTCAGAAAATGTAACCGCTGTACGTTACTCAAATTATTGTTGTTATGTATGAGGCTCGTGAAAGCGTCATAGTAGCCTGGCCAGTCCACACACGCACCGGAAAACTTGGGAACTGACATCTGTGGCATGTTCAGTCGCACCTCCGGATCAGCGGCTCCACTTGGCAGTGGCTGCAGCTTAGGAGTCTCGGCTTCAAGTCTATCCAAATCCTCTGCGATGGCACAATAGGCGTCCATATAACGCTCCTCGAACTCCGACTGGAAATTTTTCACGGCATAGCTCGATTCCGCAAACCCTTCTAGATTCACGATCACGGCATCAGTCTCCTGGAACGCGCTCCTTAGCTCTTCCACTTGTTGCAACCGCTTCTTTAAATAAATTCTCGTTTTCCTCGATTGTGAATCCTTTTTAAAATTCAGAAGCGTCGATTTAAGGGATTGGGCCCGATTTGCCTGTAAGTTAACTAATTGCTCGAAAGTTGGAGGATCCGAAACAGTTTCCATGCTGACGAGTGTAAAACCAAAACTTAGCGCAACTCACCACCCCAAATAAACATGTAAAGAAGATATCGGTAAATTCTTGTCTCGCACACAATTTGTCACTTACTCCGTTTTGCACACAAGATTTCACCCCGAAGCCACTCAAAGAAACCAAAAAGAAGAGAGCGCCTCCGTTCCTTGACCTGCCGTTGATGCGCTTATGTATCGCCGTCTTCTTTTCAGGCAGTTCGCCGAGCCGACTTGCAAACTTAACGCGGCCGCGCGATCTAACGGAATCTATTTACACCCAGTAAAATCGACTTTAAATTTTCACAATTGCAATGTTCCCCTCATGGGCCACCATGTATAGTTGTGTCCCCTTGTATGTCTGCAACTAACAAGAGGTCATTGTAGGAGGGGTTCCCAGGCAAGAGTAAACACAGGTCGGGATAATTTCCAACGTTATAATTATTATTATTCACTGATTTACTTTAAACTAGATATATATATGTATGTACAGATGGGTGTGTATTCGCAATAGATAAGGCGCTAGACCGGCGGCGTGCGTTCCGCGGCGTTTGCAAAATCAGACAAATTTTTCACCCTCTCTTCCATTCTCTTCTTCCCGCATCGTATGCACTGTCCAGCGACGAGTGAGCGATCGGCTGATCGCCACTCTCCCGCACAGTGGGACACGCAGCAAAACTGAACACCAAGTATCGATATTTTCACAGCCAACTAATTTCTGGAATTTTTTGCCGATATATATTTCTGCGATCTGGTACTTTTGGTCGCTCCGATTTTTACCTATATTTATAAAAAAACTGGCGGAACAGCAATCGGCGGAATCGGAAAGCTGTTCTGAATAGGTTTTTCTTAGCTTAACAAAATTGCATACTCAGTTTTGCTAAAATACTTACCCATAATTTATAAAAAAGTTTTAATCTATTTTGTATCGTTAATTTATAAGAAATTGGTGGAAGCGCCCGGCGTGGTCGGTTCCCGCGGTGGCGTCCGGCTCCGGTGGAAGCGCCCGGCTCCGGTGTAGGCGCCCGGCTCCAGTGGAGGCGCCCGGTTCCCGCGTTGGCGCCGGCTGCCGCGGTAGTGCCCGAGGCATGGACGCATTGATCCGGCGATCCAATCCAGGGGATGACTCCTTGGTTAGTCCTCCTTCGGAGTACTTGACCGATCGCCGGTCAAAAGCCGAATGGCTTCCCCACTGCTGTGGCCCGTCTTTATAGGGCCGAGGCGAGGCTTAGTGTGACCAAGAGAATATATTTGAGAAATACCAAGTATCGATATTTTCATAGCCAACTAATTTCTGGAATTTTTTGCCGATATATATTTCTGACGATCTGGTACTTTTGGTCGCTCCGATTTTTACCTATATATATAAAAAAACTGGCGGAACAGCAATCGGCGGAATCGGAAAGCTGTTCTGAATAGGTTTTTCTTAGCTTAACAAAATTGCATACTCAGTTTTGCTAAAATACTTACCCATAATTTATAAAAAGTTTTAATCTATTTTGTATCGTTAATTTATAAGAAATTTGTGGAAGCGCCCGGCTGCGGTTCCCGCGGTGGCGTCTGGCTCCGGTGGAAGCGCCCGGCTCCGGTGTAGGCGCCCGGCTCCAGTGGAGGCGCCCGGTTCCCGCGTTGGCGCCGGCTGCCGCGGTAGTGCCCGAGGCATGGACGCATTGATCCGGCGATCCAATCCAGGGGATGACTCCTTGGTTAGTCCTCCTTCGGCGTACTTGACCGATCGCCGGTCAAAAGCCGAATGGCTTCCCCACTGCTGTGGCCCGTCTTATATAGGGCGAGGCGAGGCTTAGTGTGGCCAAGAGAATATATTTGAGAAATACCAAGTATCGATATTTTCATAGCCAACTAATTTCTGGAATTTTTTGCCGATATATATTTCTGACGATCTGGTACTTTTGGTCGCTCGGATTTTTACCTATATTTATAAAAAAATGGCGGAACAGCAATCGGCGGAATCGGAAAGCTGTTCTCCGGAATAGGGTTTTTCGTTAGCTTAACAAAATGGTGCAGGCATGCACGTTGTTCGGCGATAAAATAGGGGACTTACTCCATAATTTATATCGGTCAAAAGCAAGTTTTAATTGCTATTTTTTGTTTTATTTATAACCCGGCTGTGGTGGAAGCGCCCGGTTCCCGCGGTGACGTCCGGCTCCGGTGGAGGCGCCCGGCTCCGGTGGAGGCGCCCGGCTCCCCGGATCCGGTGGAGCGCCCGTCCGGTGGAGGCGCCCGGCTCCGGTGGAGGCGCCCGGCTCCAGTGGAGGTGCCCGGCTGCCGCTGTAGTGCCCGAGGCATGGACGCATTGATCCGGCGATCCAATCCAGGGGATGACTCCTTGGTTAGTCCTCCTTCGGAGTACTTGACCGATCGTCGGTCAAAAGCCGAATGGCTTCCCCACTGCTGTGGCCCGACTTATATAGGGCCGAGGCGAGGCTTAGTGTGGCCAAGAGAATATATTTGAGAAATACCAAGTATCGATATTTTGATAGCCAACTAATTTCTGGAATTTTTTACCGATATATATTTTTACCTATTTTTATAAAAAAATGGCGGAACAAAAATCGGCGGAAAATCTCATAGCTCGGCCAAAAATGCATGAAATCAAATTCGGAAAGCTGTTCTGAATAGGTTTTTCTAAGCTTAACAAAATTGCATACTCAGTTTTGCTAAAATACTTACCCATAATATATAAAAAAGTTTTAATCTATTTTTTATCGTTAATTTATAAGAAATTGGTGGAAGCGCCCGGCTCCGGTGGTGGCGTCCGGTTCCCGCGGTGGCGCCCGGCTCCGGTGAAAGTGCTCGGTTCCCGCGGTGCGCGCCGGCTCAGGTGGAGGCGCCCGGCTCCGGTGGCCTTATAAGGGGGGGGGGGGGGAGAAAATATTTAAAAAAAATTAAAAAAATTTTTATTTTATAAAAATGGCGGAACAGAAAAAAATTTAGTATTTTTATAAAATATAAAAGAGAGGGGGAAGGGCTCGGTGAAAGTGCTCGGTTCCCGCGGTAGCGCCCGGCTCAGGTGGAGCGCGCCCTCCGGTGGAGGCGCCCGGTTCCCGTGGGGCGTTGGCGCCGGCTGCCGCGGTTGTGCCCGAGGCATGGACGCATTGATCCGGCGATCCAATCCAGGGGGTGACTCCTTGGTTAGTCCTCCTTCGGAGTACTTGACCGATCGCCGGTCAAAAGCCGAATGGCTTCCCCACTGCTGTGGCCCGTCTTATATAGGGCCGAGGCGAGGCTTAGTGTGACCAAGAGAATATATTTGAGAAATACCAAGTATCGATATTTTCATAGCCAACTAATTTCTGGAATTTTTTGCCGATATATATTTCTTACGATCTGGTACTTTTGGTCGCTCCGATTTTTACCTATATTTATAAAAAAACTGGCGGAACAGCAATCGGCGGAATCGGAAAGCTGTTCTGAATAGGTTTTTCTTAGCTTAACAAAATTGCATACTCAGTTTTGCTAAAATACTTACCCATAATTTATAAAAAAGTTTTAATCTATTTTGTATAGTTAATTTATAAGAAATTGGTGGAAGCGCCCGGCTTACGGTTCCCGCGGTGGCGTCCGGCTCCGGTGGAAAGCGCCCGGCTCCGGTGTTAGGCGCCCGGCTCCAGTGGAGGCGCCCGGTTCCCGCGTTGGCGCCGGCTGCCACGGTAGTGCCCGAGGCATGGACGCATTGATCCGGCGATCCAATCCAGGGGGATGACTCCTTGGTTAGTCCTCCTTCGGAGTACTTGACCGATCGCCGGTCAAAAGCCGAATGGCTTCCCCACTGCTGTGGCCCGTCTTATATAGGGCCGAGGCGAGGCTTAGTGTGGCCAAGAGAATATATTTGAGAAATACCAAGTATCGATATTTTGATAGCCAACTAATTTCTGGAATTTTTTACCGATATATATTTTTTACCTATTTTTATAAAAAAATGGCGGAACAACAATCGGCGGAAAATCTCATAGCTCGGCCAAAAATGCATGAAATCCAATTCGACGAAAGCTGTTCTGAATAGGTTTTTCTAAGCTTAACAAAATTGCATACTCAGTTTTGCTAAAATACTTACCCATAATATATAAAAAGTTTTAATCTATTTTTTATCGTTAATTTATAAGAAATTGGTGGAAGCGCCCGGCTCCGGTGGTGGCGTCCGGTTCCCGCGGTGGCGTCCGGCTCCGGTGGAAGCGCCCGGCTCCGGTGAAAGTGCTCGGTTCCCGCGGTGGCGCCCGGCTCAGGTGGAGGCGCCTGGCTCCGGTGGAGGCGCCCGGTTCCCGCGTTGGCGCCGGCTGCCGCGGTGGTGCCCGAGGCATGGACGCATTGATCCGGCGATCCAATCCAGGGGATGACTCCTTGGTTAGTCCTCCTTCGGAGTACTTGACCGATCGCCGGTCAAAAGCCGAATGGCTTCCCCACTGCTGTGGCTAGTCTTATATATCGCCCGGCTGCGGTGGAGGCGCCCGGTTCCCGCGGTGACGTCCGGCTCCGGTGGAGGCGCCCGGCTCCGGTGTAGGCACCCGGATCCGGTGGAGGCACCCGGATCCGGTGGAAGCGCCCGGCTCCGGTGGAGGCGCCCGGCTCCAGTGGAGGTGCCCGGCTCCAGTGGAGGCGCCCGGCTGCCGCGGTAGTGCCCGAGGCATGGACGCATTGATCCGCCGATCCAATCCAGGGGATGACTCCTTGGTTAGTCCTCCTTCGGAGTACTTGACCGATCGTCGGTCAAAAGCCGAATGGCTTCCCCACTGCTGTGGCCCGACTTATATAGGGCCGAGGCGAGGCTTAGTGTGGCCAAGAGAATATATTTGAGAAATACCAAGTATCGATATTTTGATAGCCAACTAATTTCTGGAATTTTTTGCCGATATATATTTCTGACGATCTGGTACTTTTGGTCGCTCGGATTTTTACCTATATTTATAAAAAAATGGCGGAACAGCAATCGGCGGAATCGGAAAGCTGTTCTGAATAGGTTTTTCTTAGCTTAACAAAAT